ATTTGTGTTCATTCTTGAATGAAAGAGACATAATTTATATTTATTTCCTAGTTTTTTATGGTTTTTGCAAAATTGGTCAAATCTCCCGAACCCGTACAGAGATTAATTACTGAAAATATCAGATAGAATATAAAGTTTTTTATTAAAAACATTTAATGACTATCTGGACATTATAAAGATTTTGCATGTGAAATTTGAAAATTTTCTGATGAATAAATGTATTTCAATCTTAAAATGAATATTACCTTACATGATAGATAGGCAACATGCGAAAAGAAAAAAAGATACAAGAAAAGCATTGTAATGTTTACTGATAGTCTTCCAAATTTCATTAACATTCGCTTACTAATTTAAAATTATTGCGTGAACACTATAACAAGCAGAGCTATCATGTAGGCATAAACAAAGAATATATATCTAATAGTACTGAAATTACACTCAGTTGTTAATACCCAGGGTTTTGCTTAACTGAAGTGAGTGTTGATTTCCACATATGTAAAAAACTGTATTGTTTTTTGAATTGGCATTATACATTCATGATTCAAGGTAACTTTTACAATTGCAATATAAATCATTCAGAAAAAAGTAATGGCAAAGGAGAGGATTATTTATATATTTGTTTTAAACATCAATCGAAAGATAAGACCAAAAAATAAATGTTTGTGATACTTCTGTATTACTATCACATTTCTTTCTGCAAATACAACATTCTATAAAGCGAAAACTTGTTAGGTTTAAAAATGAGTTTTTCAGCTACAGAATATATAAATGCTCTCTTTATTTCTCCCGTAGGGCACTGCTTCTGGACCGGTTCCTCCTCCTCGACCCCATATCACCACATCCTGTACAGTTCCACATATTGTGTCTCAAGTGCCTACTGCTTATAATGACAAAGTTGTGGCCTTTCTTCGTCAACCGAACATTATTGACATTCTCAAGGAACGACACCCAGCTATTGCCACTAATCAAGTTCTCAGGGATAAAGTAAATGGTATAAGAGTTGAAGGAACCAGTGCTCTGGACAGACTTAGTCATGATATAGATCTTACCATACTTCTCAGGTACAAACACAAGTTTAGTCTTGTTCTCGAACCAGCTATATAAACATATGTTGCAAGCATTGGCCCTAATTTTAAACATTTGTAATGGCAATTCAGTCATGGTATACATATTGTTGTATGCCCAAGACACCCATACATGGGTTGCCCGTATATCTTAAGAAACTATTTAGTTTGTAAACTACTATATTTCTTTACTTTAAGATGAGTGGGTCATACAGTAATATTTTAAAACTCTTTTAGAAATCCATATTATACTAATGATTGTTTCATGAATTTAACTGTTAAATGTCCTGTATTCAACTTTAACTTATCAAAGCTGGCATGATGCTCATATTTAGGCTTGACTATTCATTGTTTTTGAACAGTTTTAGCGGTTTGAAGAGACATTCAAATTTGTCATATTTGTTCCCCAAAACAACATTCAATCAGTATTAAGCCTTTTAAAGTCACTAACATATTCCAGCTGTAGTCTTTTGATTACTAGAAATTCTATGACATATGTAAAAGTCTCATGTTTTATTCCAGATAGCCCATTTTAGTCTTTTACATCTAAAACAGACAAGGAAAAAAAAAATCTTGTAAGGATTGCTGCTATTATTATTTCTTGTATGCAGTTATTATGAGAACTCGTTATCAATTTTTCAAGTTGGATATTTTTATTTGTACCAAGTTTTCTTATGTTCCCAAATGAGAGTTTATATTTAAAATCATTATTATTTTCAGGCTTTAAATACTTATCACGTCAGTATCTTTTAGGAATGTCAATAGCTAACACAAATTTCTAAGTACGTTTATGCTCTATTTTATTCTAAAACTATACTTAAGCATGCATGTTCACACAGTTTACCTTCACACTTGCACTTTTATTTAATTTGATATTTACATCACAAAATATTTAATCTTAATTTTTAGAAACAATGCACTGGATATTGTGTAAAAAAATAAATCAGTTATTTTAAAATTGGTATTCATCTTCTAAATCTTTACATTTAAGTTTAACGTAAGCTAAATAAGTATAGAACATAACCATGGTCTTATATCAGTCCTAAAAGATTGACTCTTTCTACTTACACTCATCAGTCGCAACCATGGTTTTATATCAGTCCTAAAAGATTGACTTTGTCTATTTACTTATTCATCAGTCACAACCATGGTCTTATATCAGTTCTAAAAGGTTGACTCTGTCTATTTACTCATTCATCAGTAACAACCATGGTCTTATATCAGTCTTAAAAGATTGACTCTGTCTATTTACGCATTCATCAATCACAACCATGGTCTTATATCAGTCCTAAAAGATTGATTGTCTATTTACACTTGACCTCAGGAAGAATCATCAAAACAAGTGATTATAACTTATGTATTGATACAGTTGTCACATTTTGTTAGCCAAAAGATGCATTAATGCTAAAAATTATTTAAATTATCACAACAGTACACTATACCTCAATGTCAAATATTTGATAAGACCTACTTAATTCTGTATGCTGTGTTCTTCTAACCTGTTGTCATATTACCTCTGTCAAGTGAAACGGGATGAAAATATCTGTTAATTCAAAAAATGCATGCAAGTTAGACCTACTCATCAGTAATTCGTGATATAAGTAAAATGGTTTACTGACTTAATGTACATTTTGGTCTTTTTATGTATTATTACATAAATGAGCACAAAGTGTTTTTATTAGTTTCTCCATGGTATCTGTAACTTAAAGACAGAAGCAGAAATTTGCATTCCTGATGCATGGAACTGGTATAGGTCACTTTCAACAGATAGAATGTTCTCTCAGGTTTATTGCTGAGCAGACTTTTTTTAGAAGTATTTCTGCTTTACTCACTAGTCTTGCTGAAACCAGCACTGTTATTTTTACTTTTTAGATGTGCTTAGATCACTCTTAATGCCATTAAATACGCTGTAATGTCAGAAGGTCAGTGACATTCAAAAATTGACCTTGCTCCTTCATGCATTCTTATTGAGTTGAGATTTTGTACCTTTTTTAAAATCCAAAATTTGTTTCCGAGATGCCATTTTAGCATCAATGGCCAGAAGTTTGACTATGATTTTTGCTTAGTCATGACATTTCCTTGACCAGGTTAAAACAGACTATAACAATGAAAGATAGGGTGCTAAGAACATCAAATTATGGTTTAACTTGAGCAACTTAATTAAAAAAGATAATTGAGTTATTCTTAACAGTTTGAGATTTCCAGTTAGTTATGTTATCAATTGAACCAAATAACACAGCACAGTTTATTTCTTAATGTTTAGATAAACAAAAGTGTTTTGCTGTATCATATTTCACTGTGTAACCATTTAAAAGCAATCAGTATATGACTGCTAGTTATGTTTGGTTAAAGTGTATACATATGATTCAAGCTGTATTGACTGGAAACAAGGTAGAATCAATCCAGTTTCTTTTTGTGTCCAGGTTAGACACAGTGAAACTGTTAACAGAACATTAGAACTTACATTTATGAAACAGCCATTTGAGAAACATGAAACAATGATACACAAATGTATTGCTAAATGTTTAAATTTTAGCTTTCAGTATTTCCTAAATCTTTGTTGTGGTTGAAGGTCAAATAAAAATAACTACTAAACAAAACAATTGTTTCATTTGATTTTGTGACTGTAATCGTAAAGAAATGATCAATTATTGCCACAAATTAATCAGTTATTGATAATGAGAAAATATAAACAACAGTTTATATATTTTTTCTTTACAGTCTGTTTGAACAAGAGATTATGTCCTACGTTCCAGCACAAAGTAGCGATAATGCATCAGCCAGTACAAGTGGAACACATCGGTCACCACATGAATCTCCCCAACCATCTCCACAGGCATCACCAGGTAAGAAGCTGTTATTTTTTGTTAGAAACTTTTCAAGTTCCTTGTTAAGATGTTGAAGGAATGAAATAAATCTATGATAATGTATTTAAACTTATTAAAAGGTAGCAAATCTAACTTGATCTAATTATGCATTTTTGACAGGTACATTGTTTAACTACTTGATGTGAAACCTACTTAACTAGCATGTTTTATACAGTTTCGCTGCTTATGTTTTTTCTACAGTTGTCAATGTTCATTTTATTCGAGATCTTATCTTCTTTCAGGTTTCTAATGATAAGTTACATTCATGCATACTGTTCATGAGTTGTGTGATGTATATACTTATCAGTACTGTGTAAAATGCTTGTACAACACGCAGATCATATGACCTAGCAGCTGTACAATCATAGACAGTTACCCATGAAACTCTGCATTAGACATAGTTCTCTTGTTGATGAAATATCAAACTTTGTGATGATTATTTATTGTCAAGAAGTGTTTATATGAATAAATAAGTTAGTATAAAAAATGTAATTCAAATTGAATTTTTATGATGTATTTTTAATCTGTTCAAAGTTATAAGTTACTCCGAATTGACAAGTGAATAAATTTAATGAAATCAAAACTTTTCAAAAATTGTGATTATATTAAATGTTATCATGCATGTGTCTTACTACCTCTGAACTTTATTTGATTAATTCTTTACATGGGTGTTTATGTGCAAGGAGTGACTGTACAAAAGTCATCCAATAAGGCACTATTAATCAACAGAGTTCAACCTCACTGTGTGGTTGTTTATCTGTATTTATTTATGTCATACAGAAATAAAAATGTCATAGATTATACAAGTGTTTGCTTACATGAAATTGTTAGCTACACAGTAAGAAAAGTATGCATGTTAGTCATTTGTACATGGTACATGTGAATTCAAGATACATGTTATTTCTACTCCAAAACAAAACTATGTTTATTATTCTACCTTACTTTAAGAGCAATCACTATATGGCTGCTAGTTATGTTAGATTACAGCAAGTTAAGACCATAATTGTTTGTTTTCATCTCTAAATAGTCCACCCTTGCATTAATTAAATTATTCAGTTTTGAAATTTGAATTTATGAGAGCAGATAGAACATTTTACCCATTTAAATGTCAAATTTTGTGATATATTGTGATTTTCAGTAGTTGTGATAGGTATGAAAGTATCAACTGTAGGATTACTGATGTATGGATCTTGTCAGCTTTTATAAAATATTTATTCAATAAGTTGTTTGTGAGTCCATGACTTTGTTGGTTACAGGCTCCCTAATGATACGAGTTACACAGATATATATAAAGAAAATTACCATAATTGTTCAATTAATTCCACTAATTATTGTTGTGGTGCTTCTGTAAGTTGTACCTAGAAAATAAGTTATATCATTCCCCCTTTATTTAGTCATTTCTTTAAATTGAGTGTAGTAAAAAGCAAAAACATGAAAGTACTCAATATGTAATATGTGAATGATGTAATAACAAATTGTGCATTCTGATTGATTTAGGTTTACAAAGAGCAAACATCAGAGTGTAGTAAAAGCAAAACATGAAAGTACCCAATATGTAATATGTGAATGATGTAATAACAAATTGTGCATTCTGATTGATTTAGGTTTACAAAGAGCAAACGTCAGAGCTCCAGCTCCTTACAGGAGAGACTTTGAAGCCAAGCTCAGAAATTTCTATCGCAAGCTAGAATCCAAAGGTTTTGGTCAAGGTCCTAGTAAGCTGAAGTAAGTGGATTTTTCATATACTTAACCTGTTTTATAGACTTTATATAGTGGATATTTATTTAGATTCTAAACAAAGGTATTGTGGTTGGTGGTATGGAACATGTTTTCAGAAAGTTAAATATTCATTATTATTAGTTCCAATCTCATTGGAAATAAGAGAGCCTTACTGTGCAATTTTAAGTGAATTACTCAGATTTTCTATTGCTGAACTGCTGAATTTCAGTGAGGTTGAAGATAAAATTCCGAAATACAGTGAAAAACTAAAGGCTTGTCTTTTTTCAGAAACCACCATTAAACATACTTTACTTTCTTGCATAACCTGCCAAAAAAGATATAAGAAAATGTAATGTATGTGAGGATATTGTTGTTTTCGTGTTATAGATGCATAATTTTTTCAGTACAGTGTTTCATGTGGAACAAAAACAGAGTGGGTCATATATGTCCCTCACCGCATGGAAATATAAACACACACTCAAATACATATAGAAAATACATATAGAAAAAATGAAGTATTGTTCCTTTGAAGAATATAAATTAAATAAGACCTAAATTTATTCATCATAACTAATTCATAGTCATGCTTGTTGATTCTGTAATGTGAATTTTATTCTATAGGATAAGCACTTCAAAAGACAAGTAATTCAGAGAAATTTTAAAATTGATCAAATGAAATTATACTAAGAAAATATATTTTTATATATGCTTTAAATTTAGATTAACATGTCATTAAATTAAAATACAAAAACTTATAATCTTAAATGTAATATCAGTGCTCTGAAGTAATTATAAATTTTTATTAAACTACTAATGCCAGTACTATAAACACGAACCCCACATGTTAGATGTTTGTGTTGTAATTATTCCAAGATTTTTCTACCTCTTTCAAAGGGGATGTTTCAATCATCACTTTCCTTATATATTTGACTTTTTTTTTTGTTTAACTAAGTACGCACAGGGTTGTATTGGAGAACGAATGTTGACTATAATTCTGAATTTACCATGTATATCTACACAAAATGTGGCAAGTTTGTAGTGATATATACATATCTGTTGTACACAAAAAACCAGATTTATTGTAAAGTATTTATTATCAAGATATGCCTGTGAATTAACCATGTCAATTTAGCTCAGGCTATGACAAGTCAGAGTGCAACATGATGTTCACGTACATAACTACTAAACCTCCAAAATGCATATGTACAGTTTTTTTTCAGTATCCCTCGATATTGTATCTAGTATTTACTCACCTCTACCATAAACTTTCATTTAATCACCAGTATTAGGTAAATTAAATCTGATAAATGGCCCTCCGTAAAACATTGAGGCATGTACAGTTTAACTCTTATCCATGTACATAGGATTAATGTAGTTATTTACTGTGCAAAGTACTGTTATTGCATAAGTCATTTTTTTCTTATCCAATTAGCCCACACGCAAATAAGGAGTCTTTCTGCTTGAAAATTCCAATTCTTTTGACTTCATAAGTTTAATTGCTTGTAAAATATATGAAATTAAATGAAGCACCTTGTAAATTGCAATGGCACTTTGAATTATCTTGAGAAATAATTTTCACATAAAACCCAAAACATTTTTTTTTAATCTTTAAAACAGTTACCACATTGACATAGGAATCTCCTTTTTACATTGGATCTGGAAATTATCTTTGTAGTGATAGTCATAAACATTTTGTGCTGTTAATAGATAAATCCCTAGTTCTAACACCTACTTTGCAAATAGAAATATGTCATTTCTTAATATTTTTTGTGATGTAATTCGACTGAAGAAAGTGTCTTTGTTACTAGAGTGCATCCCTACATTCATTGGACCTGCTCAAACCTGATATTAATTCATCCTTAGAGTTTGAACAGATATCTAGGCATATATCCTTTTTATAGTAATTTAATTTTATATATGCTGGGGATGTTTAGGATAGTAGCTATAATTGTTTATTTTATTTTTTTATGTAAATTTATTGTAATTACATTTAGTAGCAAAAATAAGCAAAGTATTTCACTGTTAGGAAGTTGAGAAATTTTTAATTATTTTTTCCACTTCCAAAAAATGTGTGTGTGTCTGTTTAAAGTTTATGCTTATAGGTTTTTACACATAAATAATTTCCCCAGATTGTTCACATACCTCAATAGTGAATTTACTTCACTGGTGTGAAGGTTGTGAATACAATTCAAATAATTTCATCTTCCCCCCTCCCCTCCCATATGCATTTTCATTACTATTGATTGTAAGTATCTTTCATTTATTGATACAGATTAAACATACGGAGAGATAATTTACTAGAGGATGCCTTCACCAAGATCATGGCTGCCTCCAAGAAAGATCTCCAGAAATCTCGTTTATACATCAGTTTCTCAGGAGAGGAAGGGTAATTAGTTGCAATGTACATGTAACTGTCGGAAAGGCTATATGTATGGTACTGATTTTAAGAAGCCTTGCCTCTTTTCCATTCAGCCAGTCAGAGAACTAGAGAATCATAAGAAAATAGTGCACCAGAACATAATGAATTAACCTTAAGATAGATGATGTATAACTTTGAATTTTAGTTCTTTTTTTTTTTTTGGACATTGATTATTCCTCAAATTATACAACTGCTAGAATTGGTAATTTACAAATAATTGTGCAGTATTTTAACCAGAAAAAATTAGGTATAGAGATTGATACTGTGCTTTTCAGAAACCTGATGAATTTAAAGCAAGCTAATATAGAGATGTAAGTGCTTTCAACTTGATAAGATTCTGTGCTTATCTGAAATAACCTGTGGATGTCATCATAACTTTAGATTAGTCTAATCCAGCTGATTTTGAAGATTCAACTTCAAGTAATTGGCTAAATCTAATACATAAGTGTTGATAAAACTCTGTGCTTATCTTAAATAGCCTGTGAAAGTTATCTTACATCAGGATTAAACTAAGCTTCTCACTAATAAAAACGAAAATAGCATGCATATTGTCAATTTTTAAGTCCTTAAACTTAACACTATGTAATAGTTCCCATAATAACAAATACAAGAAGTATAATAGTGTAAGATTTTTTTATGCAGATGTCTACATCTTTCTATTATTTTATTATTTGAACTTTTTAGGAGCTTCAGTTTTTTATGTTGAAGTTTTATTAAGCATTAGTGTTAGAAATTGATGTATTTCATTTATTTTCTTTTAATTGTGATATAATAATTCTTTTCCCCATAGACTTGCATTTTGATAGCTGAAAGAGATACAGGATTTAATTATATTTCCTCTTCAATGTTGATTAAAAATTGGAATATTTTTATTTATATTAGTACAGAGGTTGAGTATGTAATATTAGAACAATTTTGGAATCTCACCATGTTGTTACTGGCTATGTTGTAGTGTCTTGTCACGCTCTATCTAATGACTATGTATTTGACAATAGCTTGCAGTGTAGCTTACAAGGCTCTATTGTAAAGCTGTAATGTCCAAAGTACACCACACCTCCCTGCTTCCTTTTTATAATCCTTCTAATGTATGAGGACACCAGTTTCCCAGCAACAGTTCAGTTGCGCAGGTGCTTTGTCCTCTGACTTGACCAGTATATTTTGTATGTAATAGAATGAATACAAATTTCATTCTTCAGCTACTTGAAATATACAATGGTTGAATGGGTATGTGAATGAAGCAACTTGTGCACGTGTGATTGTGTCATTTTTCCAGATGGAAATAATTGATTATGCCCCATACTGTTGCCTGAAATATGTTAATTCTCACCTGTTATAAGATGCCACACTTTGCTCATCATGGCTTAATTAGAACTTATTGTAGGTCTATTTCTGGATGATCGTGGTGCCCTAAATTGATTCATATTCCTTTGATTTTCTCTTCCATTAAGTACAAGGAATATCCTTTCTTTGAAAATCAAAATGTCTGATATGAATACTTTATGACCTGAATGTATGAGTATTTTGCTTTGGAAAGGATTGTTACGTACCTTTCCCAAAAGCAATCAGTTTTTGGTAGCATCACATTGCCTACAAAATGCTAAAAATGTCAAAATATAGTTCTGATAATTTATGTTTCCTTATAATTGCTATGGTTGTTAGTTGACTTGCTGATTTTTCATATTTAAAACCATTTTAATATACATGCTCAATCCTCTGTATAATAAACACTTTATTTTTTCAAAGGCAGAGCTATACAACATAGTTTGGAATTTTCCTCATTAAAACAGCAACTTTCTGTTTTCAGGTTAGACTATGGAGGTCCATCCCGAGAGTTTTTCTTTCTGCTCTCTAGGGAACTCTTCAATCCCTACTATGGCTTGTTTGAATATTCTGCAAATGATACCTATACAGTACAAGTGAGCCCCATGTCTGCCTTTGTGGATAACCAGCACGAGTGGTTCCGGTTCAGTGGCCGGGTTTTAGGCCTTACTCTGGTTCATCAATATCTTTTGGATGCCTTTTTCACCCGGCCATTCTATAAGGCTCTGCTTCGTTTGTGAGTATTTATCATTAGTTAACATTAAACCTTAACATACTATCTTAGCATTAAATTTAGTAAGTTATTAATTTGAACTTAGTCATATTTAAAGTCAAGACCCTATGTATGTAAAAGTTTTCTCATATTATACACTCCCTAAATTATATACATTAAAGTTTGCTTTATATAAAAACTATCTAGTTGGATAGTGAACTATGATATGGATAGATCTAGAGAGCTTCAACAAGAGCAAAATTTTGAGTCTTAATCTACTTGTATAAAACTTGGTTTATATTCCTAAACGTGTAGACTTCTACAAAAACAAAAAAAACGTATATATGTGTGTGTGTATTATGGAAGCATAGTGATATTTACATCTTACGTTGTGTTTGTAAAATACATTTTTTGATTATCTTAAAAAAATTGTGCCTTTACTGTATGTCTAAAATCCTTTAAATGTGCTCAAAGATTTATTGCAATTATACTAATTTTTTTATTTGCAGCTTTAAAGTTAACAGCATTTATGACTGTTGTGTTTAAAGTCACACCACTGACTTGCTCTAAAGTTTATGAAGTCACTATTTTTAAAATGTAATCTTACTTTTAATATTATTAAAAAAAAGTTAAATCTAAGCATCTGCAAAATTACAAAAACAGGCCTTAGATTTGTTATAACTTATATAAAGGTTTGTACAATATGAAATATTTAACAAAATCTATTTTAATTACTATTCTGGTACAAAAAAAAAATACATACACTGAAGAACAAACTGTTTCATTGAATTTTGAATGTAATAGTGCAACAGTCATCTAATTATAATTGTTAGTTGATATGATAATTTCATACAACCCAAAATATTAGTTGAGGATTAATTAGCAATGATACAATTATTTTTAAGAATTACTATAGATGAAATAAAAATTAATCTCATCCAGTTGAAATAATTGGGAAGATGTTGTTTTAATAATAACCAAATGACAATGTAATTATTGTACAAATTGAACTGCGTTTTAAAGTTAAAGAATGCATGGAAGACTTTTGTGGCATTCTGTGCTCAAAGAGGAGGTGTAATTTAGTAAGAAAACATTATTGAATGTATTTTAAAATTCATAAAATAATTCCTTCTCAGTAGTAAGAGTGAGGGCTTATAATGCTAAAAATTGGATTTTGATACTTGTTATGGGCACAGTACAGGTAAGACCATTGTGTAGCTTGTGCTGAATAATAAACAAACAAAACTTATTTATCTGTAGGAAGTAATTATACTTATTAGTTTTTGACATTATGGTGGACATTGTGAGCTTAAAAGTATGAATATAAAAGTTATTGTTAACTATATAATTCATGTTTGTTTTATCTTAATTTTTAGTTGAAATATTACTACTAAAAATAAATATTTCTTCCAACAGGGGAATTGTAAACCTGGTTTGTCAGTATTATAAAGTATTAATGAGCATCTACTATTGCTATATGCACCCACTTTAAAACTCTTTTACAGGATAAGTTCTAGTTTTTCTCCATTAAATTAACTTTGATAGCTAAAGATTTTGTGTGTGTGAGAAGAATTTCATATATGTTGTAAATGGGGCTTTTAAGCTCTGTTGTGATCTGGTATATGGAATTACACTTCTGTAGCTGCTGTGTGATTTTAAAATGATACAGCAAAACAAGAAGTTGTAGTATTTTCATAAATTTAGAGGTAATTATTAATTTTATAGAATTTGTTTTAAGGGGCCCTTTTTTCAGTGTAAATCAAGCCTTCTAGGACATGTACATATTTTTTTTGCTTGTATTACCTGTTGTTAATATAAACTTATTTTTTTATTATTATTGTTTCTTACAGAAAGTTATCATGAGGACAATCTTTAATGAATACATAATTGTTTATACTTGGAAAAAATTTTATATCAGTCTTCTTGTTTTTACTTATTGTTGAAAAAACTATTTTTATAGGAACTTCATTCACTAATTATATACTTTTGTTATAGTGTGATTGAAATAAAAGGGGTGATATGAATTAGGAAAGTCTTCATCATTCTCTGAAGCAGTTTTATTTTTGTTGACTACATGTGTATGTTCCTAGGCCATGCTCCTTGAGTGATCTTGAATCACTAGATGCTGAGTTTTATCAGTCTCTCTTATGGCTAAAAGATAACGATATCTCGGACATGGGCCTGGACTTGAGCTTCTGTGTAACAGAAGAAGTAGCTGGACAAATAGTAGAAAAAGAACTGAAATCTGGTGGTAAGAATATTACAGTCACAGAAAGGAATAAGAAGGAGTACATTGATAGAATGGTGAAGCGTCGTTTAGAACGTGGAGTAGCTGAGCAAACAGAATCTCTAGTCAGGGGGTTTTATGAAGTAAGTGGTTTTTATATCTTTTTTTTACATAATCAGGTGCTTGTATAAAGTCATTGAGATAAAAAAAAGTTTGTCTGTAACAACTCTGAAATATTGCAAACAGCAAAAAGTTCTTTAACATTAAGTTTTAACTCTTCCTCTGATGAGTTTTTCAGTTGTTGTAACAGTATTGGAAATAATTATGGAAACAGTGAATAAAATGGGATTTTTCCAGCACTTACATAAAAATAAACTGCACCAGAGTGTGTTAATAGTTTACATTGTGATTAACTGTCATCCAACAATGCCTGGTTAAACAAGCTGTATGGAAACTTAAAAAGAGTATTTGAAACTATTACTGTCAACGTAGAAAATCAAAATTCTTTAAAAGTGATGTTAATTAATATTGACATGCTCTTTATATGTTACATGACAAAACAGTAGAGATCCTTCCATTGACCTAGCCTTAAGTATAGGTGTGAATGTAACCTCAAGAACAGTTAAGCTACACATTATCTCAAAGTTGCCCCAGTGGATATGTAGCTGCCCCAAAACTACTGCTTAGGAGAGATAACCAAACCAAAAGTTTGAAACTGGCATCAGACTTTATACAATGAAATCAGCAAATCTGGAGGAGGTTGCTCTTTAAATGCATCCAAAGTCCAGTTGTTTGCAACAACTGTTTTCATATAGAAATTTTAAATTTTTATTTTGTAGTTTCACATAACATGTGGTCAAGAAGTACATTTAGTTGCTATCACTCTAGCTACCTTTTATTTCAATTTGCCCCCTGGAGATAACATTTGTCTTGCTCACGGAGGTAATAGATGTGGAAATGCAGACAGCAGTTTTCTTCATTAGATGGTCAAATGATATCGTGAAGTTATAACTTCCTGTATTTTTCAGTGGGATTGATCAGCAGTTACATAGATGTTAACCATGTCTTGAGAGAGACAATATTATATAATTTGGAATATAATACTATGATCTCTTAATTAGCTCTCTCTCAAGCTCAAGCCCTACATTTGGTAAGTGAAGTTTAGCTTCTTTCTTTAAATAGAGAAACTCTCTTAAAAATTAACCCGTAACATTAAGTTATTCTTCATAAATCTGTTAATTATATCAAAAGAATTTAAAAGAGACAACTGTCATGTAGAGGTGCTATCATTCATTCTGTGCACTTGTTTTTGAGTTTGCAGTGTTTTTGAGTTTAAATAAAGATTTGTTTTCACTGTGTGTTTTACATTGTGCCCAGTCTCTTTCTTTTTCAAACCTAGTCAGAGTCAGAGAACTCAGAAATACTTCATGATAGATATCTTGTCGAATCTCCCATTATTCTGCAGACTTATCTTTTCGCTCTTTTATCTGAGAATACCACACAGTCAGTGCTGGTGTTTTCTATGTAACGAAGAAAATGGTATAATAGTCAATGTACAACATCTACAGTGAAGTAGTAGTGGACCAACATAAGATGTGGGCTGCATCTCAGCATGAATCTTGTTGGTCTAAACAATTTGATGGCACCTGACTGCTGACAGGTACATGCACATCTTATCCATTATGTCATTCCTTTAGGAACAAAACTGTTGGTAGCAACTCATCTTCCAGCAAGACAGTTATCCCAAGTATGTTTTAAAGTGATACCTGGAAGCAAAAAAGGACCAATTAAACATTAGCAACCAAATATAAATATAATTTGGCTTTTTTGGAACAATATTCCAGAATCATGCAGTGATAAACATATGATAGCTTAAAAACTAAGATGCACTTCTCTGTTTAAAACAAGTGTAAAGTACTGTGCATTATAAAACTTGTATGCTTTTCTTTTGTATTTTCTGTAACAACGTACAAATGATAACTTGCAATTAGTCATTGTCTTTGACTCCTGTATGTGTACCTTGTGCATTTTCTTAATTATTTTCAATACTGTGTATTTGAATAGCTTTTACTTTAACATTTAAAATACAAATAAAATCAAATGTTAGCTTAAATATGACAACAAATAACTTATGGGATAAAAGTACTTCAGTATGAGAACTTACAAAGCTACATAGTATAAAATGTATTCTAGTTTTGTCTTTGTAACTTAACCCTTTCGTGGCAGACTCGTGCAATTTGCAGAAATCAAGTCACGTAATTCACATGTCCAACAATACATGCGATAACTCTGAGATTTCTTAATGTATCCATTCAAAAACTGGTAAGATTTTGTTGAAGATCATAAATATCTTGTACACAAAGAATAACATTATAATTGTTTTTATAAAATTTGTTATTTTTCTATTGCAGTTACTTGCATTCAATTGATTAACAAATACAGTGCAAGGTGATTTTAATTTTAAGCATAAAAATACTTTTCTTTGTCTTATAGTTTTCATATTCCATTTGCATAAACTCTAGAACCTTCTAAAAGGATATCAAGTTTTTAATGTAAATGTTTATATTTTATTTTTTCATTTTCTCTACCATATCACTAACTCTCGCTATTATCATCACTGTATAATGAAATGAAATGATTAAAATTAGGAAATAGAAAAAAAAAGACATGCCTTTTAATTTTTTGTAGAATATCTTTAAACATTTTCATTTTGCTAAATTCATAATTTCAGGTCTTTTCCTTTTCACATATAGTTAATTTTTAAAGTTTCATTTTTTTTACCATTTATTATTCATCTTGACACAAGTCAACAGTGTCCTTGAGGCATATTAGTTTCTTTGGGAGACGTGCGCAACCTATTGGTAAAATTTTCTTTCATCATGTAATATTGTAAGCTGCCTTGAGAATGGATCCAAAGTATGATGTATATTTAAAAAATGTCTAAACCGTTTAATTATGCATTTTAAAACATAACTAATACATAATTAACTAAAATATAATAGTAAGACCTAAATACTATTTAAACTGTATCTCTAACTATAAGATATTTAGTTAAGAAACAACTGTAAGTGCAGTAGTCGTTCAAGCAACCTACCATACTAGAGTAAGTTACATGTAATCTGTGATGACAACTGTAAGGCCATTTTAAAATAACCATTGTTAGATGATAGTGTAAAATGATCTCTTTTTAATGAGCATCTACATGTAGGCTATAAAGCTCAAATCTGTTTAAGATGGGCATGGCACCTGTGAGGTGTTGAAAAAAATTTATTAGTTGTTTAAAACTGTATTCTTTCAGAGAACTTTGTCCAGATATACCTCTACTCAACTACCATTGTATTATTGAAGATACAGAGAGCCATAGTAGAGAATTTTCACAGCTTGTTGGTCACATGAAAATACATCTGAAATTTTAAGTAGTTTTTTAAAGGTTTATTTTCAAATAAAGGACTTAAAACTTTGAATCATAACATACATTATATTATTAATTTCATTCACATTCATTGATAGTAAAGGTGTTTGATTAAATTTTTAATGTAATACAGTGAATTGCACATAAAAGCATTTAAAGGGGCTCCTGTTGTGAAAGGGTTAGTATATGTAAATATCTAGATATTTAAACCATTAGAGAACATTTTGTAGCATGTGTGTTGGTATACAAAACGAAGTGACATCTTTTGATGTGAATTGTTGGTAGATGAAGAAAAAAAGAGTAAAATTTATGCTTACACAGATAAGGTAAATTTGTTGGGTTTTTTTCAATAGCTACATCTTTTGATATATATTTAAAGGGAGAGATCTGTGAATAGTGTTTCACAAAAAATTATTTTTAGCCAGTTGTATTGTGCAGATTTCTAAATGAGTTGAACCTTAGCAGTACTAATTTTATTTTGTTAAATTAAAGAACTCTAGTTTTATTTACTTAAGACAAGCCGAGGTACCCGTTCTTTGTCCAGGTTACAAACTTTAAAAAAAAAGGTGGGGTAAAACGCTATGATAAATAACACAAAAATCCTAATTTTCACACAATATATTTATAACATAGCATATTATTACAGTATTCATTATTACCTCGCCAAAAGTTTTGTATAACCTTTAAGAACTCAATATGTATATGCTTAAAACATGGTATACTCTGTACGATGGTCT